TGGGGAAGGGGGGTGAAGCCCAGGTCTCTCCATGCATCCCTGGGGACCAATCTAGGATGGGGACCTCGCAGTGACGCAACATCAGCATCCCACTGTTCCCCTGTATCTCACCCCCCCCAGCCCTGCATCCCTGCATCCCTGTAACCATGGTCCCTCTGTGTCCCCAGGTGAGGTGCTGGGCACCCCGATGAGTGGTGGGGCTGTGGATTACTCCCTGCTGGGCAGCCAGCCCTCCCCTTCGCTCAGCTACACCGGCAGCTTCTTCATCAAAGCGGTACCGGAGCATCCCCAGGACCAGGAATCCCTCTTCAACCTGATGTCAGGGATCCTGGGCATCTCCCCCTTCGCCTCCTCCGAGGGCCACCAAAGGCATCTGGATGCTCTTTATCCATGTCCCGACGTGGCTCAGAGCCAGCTGGACCTTTATCCTAACTGCCAGCCGGAAATGAACGGATCCACCCCAACCCCATTCCCGGAGCAGGGCTACGGCACCTTCCCCACTCCGGATGCTGCTCAACCCCTCCAGGCACAGCCCACCTTGGGAAACACCTCCCAGTGCTTCTTCCAACCCAAGCTCCTGGACAACAAGCAGGACATCAAGCTGCCCTCTGCCTCCCCACCCCTGGACAAGTTTAAAGCCTCCTGCACCCAGTGGGAGCCCATCACCCAGCATCAGGCCTACCTGCCCTCTGGTTACCCATCTCCCGAAGCATTCCCTGCTGGAGAAAGCAGCCAGGGGCTGTTCCATCCACTGGGCTCCAAGATGGAGAGCATCTTGTCCGTGAGCTGCCAGTCGGAGCTCGGCAGCCTGGCAGAGGATGCTCCCTGCTTCGGGACCCATCTGGGCTTCGGCTGCGAGCCAGAGAACTTCCCGGCCGACACCAAGATCCACAACCTCCCTCCTCCATTGATCCCGGAATTCGACGCTTCCTTAACCCAGCCCGAAGTCCTGCCGGCGCTGATGAGCTCCGCCGAGCTCCTCCATCCTCATCCCTCTCCCTCCATCCCCAGCACGGACTTTTTGGGCCACGCCGCCTCTTCCTCCATCCCTTCCCTGCTCCCCACCACCCCTCCCGCCTTGGCCGAGCCCAAGAAGAAGACTCGCCGGACCAAGTGCTCTTCCAAATGCTTCTGCCCTAAGCCCCACGAGAAGGCGTTCGCCTGCCCCGTGGAGAACTGCATCCGGAGCTTCGCCCGCTCGGATGAGCTCAACCGGCACCTCCGCATCCACACGGGCCACAAACCCTTCCAGTGCCGCATCTGCCTGCGGAACTTCAGCCGCAGCGACCACCTCACCACCCACATCCGCACCCACACGGGCGAGAAGCCCTTCTCCTGCGACACCTGCGGGCGCCGCTTCGCCCGGAGCGACGAGAAGAAGCGCCACAGCAAGGTGCACCTCAAGCAGAAAGCGCGCACCGAGGAGAAGCTCAAGGGTTTGGGGTTCTTCTCGGTGGGGCTCTCCTTCGGGACGCTCTGAGAGCCCGGCACTGGGACGCGGCACTTCCCAACATTCCCCCCCCACCCCGAGCATCTCATGGGAGAGCCGGGCTGGGACCATCCCCATGGAGAAGAGGATGGCGAAGGAGCGGGCCCGTGGTGGGATGCAGAGGGGCGCGCGGGAGGTGGATGTGGTGCCACGGCGCTGGACCGAGGTGGGATGCGGCAGCTCCGGTTGCCCCGGGGCCATCTCCAAACTGCAGGGACTGAGTGGTTTTTATTGCTCCTATTCCAAGGGCAGGGGGGAAATGAAAACCCGTGGACAGAAAGAAATGGGGTTTGTACCCCCGGACCCATGGACAATGTGTGTTTGTAGCGACCTGACCGGGGTTCCCCCTGCCAGCACTTTACAGGATGCTCCTGATGGGTTATTCACCACCCAGCACAGCTGGGGGCTGCGGCAGCACCGACCCTTTCTCCCAAAGGAGGGAGATGCCAGCAGGCTCCAGCAGCCGGTGCCTCACGGTCCCTTTGGAAAGGTGATGTCATTATCATGATTATTATTGCTGTTATTATTACCCTGTTTGTAAATGGGAAAAAGCCTCTATCGGGATGAGAAAATCCTGTCTATTTTTGTAATTAAAGATTTGAGCTGATCCGAGACCTCTCTGCCTTGTTCCTGCCTTTGTATCCCGTTTAGCAGCCGATGCCGGGGGGGTTTCCATTGCTTTTGACCTCTCCTATGGGGAAAAAGGTGCTGAAATAGTTAGCAGAGAGAGGAAAATCAATCAGAGCAGTGGGGGGGTTGTGGCCCTCATCCCGAGCATCCCAAATCCCCTCGATGGGTGGCTTATCCCAGGAGAAGGGTCTTGTCCCGGCACAGAGCAGGGAAGGGATCCCCGCTCCCGGCTCATGAGTCCCTTACAGAAAACAGGGCCGTGGCTCTGGGTTTATTCCAATAGGAACAAACCCTGGGGGGATTTGCCCTACTTGGATCCAGAGCCATGGGGTTCACTGTGGGGACCCCAAATCCCAGCCCGGAGCCTCCATTCTGGTCCCTCCGTGTGTCCTTAGCAGGCTTCTCCCGCAGGAAGTGGGGTGGGATACAGCCCCTGTCCCCATCTTCAACCTGGCACATCCCCAGGGCTGGAGGGGATCCAGGCACCATCAGGATGGACATTTGCTCCCTCCCTTTTGGCAGGTTCAACAGCCAAGAGATGCCTTTTCCCTTCCCCTGGGAACATCCAGCGGCACGGGAGATGCAGGGAACAGAGGCAGGGAAACTGAGGCAGGGAAGGGGCATGGCTGGAAACCTGCTCTCTCCAACAGGTTTTGTCCCTTGGAGAGGAGGGATCTGTCCCCAGCCATGTTATGGAGGAAAGGGGGGGGCTCCTTGCCTCATCCCCTGCTGTCCCCCAGCCCTTTGCCAACACACGGACTGGAGCATCCCAGGGTTAAATCCCATTTATACCCTTATCCCAGCAGAATCCAATGCCCAGAACCGAGCTTGATGTGGGCTGGGAGGATGCCATGGATCTGGGGTGGGAAGCTGGGCAGGGGATGTGAGGCCCCCAAGGGACAGAATGGGATGCGATGGGATGTGATGGGATGCAATGGGATGCGATGGGATGCGATGGGATGAGACGGGATGGGGAAAGGATTCAGCAGGAAACCCAGATGAGGGGTAAACCCGAACTGTCCTTACAAGAGCTCACACCTCTGATGGCACCCAGGGGTGCTGGTGCCCCACCAGCCCCATGCATTGCCAGCCCCAGCAGCTGAACCACCCCATGTGTGTGGGACATGATCCCGAGCAAGAACCACTCCATGGGATGCAGATGAGCCCAGGCACCAGAAAAGAGCCTTTTCCGGGGGAGACACGAGACATTCCAGACATCATTCCCAGGGCTCAGCAAGCCCAGGTTTGCTTTGGGAAGAGGACGGATTCTGGGCACCTTTCCATGGGACATCAGCTCGTGTCAGCAGTAGGCAGCCCTGCTTCCCCTCGCCGCTCGCCATGCATCATGCATGAGGCCTTTATTAATACCCCTCTGGAAGTGCATCTATTATTGATGCTGAGCCTGAGAGCTCTGAGCAGCTCCAGCCCTCGCCCTCTGCTCCCATCACAGCAGCGGTTCCTGGGGTGGGATGGGGCTGAGGGCAGGATCAGGGGTACCCTGAACCCCAGGGATGGGGATGAACCACTTGAGCCCAGGCCGGCAGCATCCTGGCCCCGAACATCTTCGCTCATGTGGGCATCAGAGATAAGAACACATCAGTGCTGGGCTGCCTCTGGCACTGGGGACCAAGCTGAGGTGCTCAGGGACTGGGTCAGGACCAAAGCAAGGATTAAACCAGGGACCAAGGTGCTTGAGGACTCAACCAGGACCAGGACAGGGATTAAGCCAGGTTGCTCAGGGACTGGATCAGGACCAAGCCAGGGTGCTCAGAAGCTGGATTAGGATGAAGCCTGGATGCTTAAGGGACTGGATCAAGACCAAGCCAGGTTTCTTGGGGACCAAGCCAGGGATGAAGCCAAGGTACTTGGAGATTCGGTCAGCACCAAACCAAGGCAGGGATTAAGACAGGGATCAGACCAGACCTCAGCCAGGGACCAAGTCCGGATGCTCAGGGATTGGATCAGGACCAAGCTGGAGACCAAGCCAGGGTGCTTGAGGACTGGATCAGGATGAAGCCAGGATGCTCAAGCACCAGAACAGGACCAAGGAAAGGATTAAATTAGGATGATCAGGAATCAGATCATGACCAAGCCAAGGACCAAGCCATGGTGGTCAGGGGCTGGATCAGGATGAAGCAAGGGGCCAAACTATGGTGCTTGTTGACTGCATCAGAATGATGCTGCGTTCTTGGGGACTGGATTGGGACCAAGCCAGGGTGCTTGGGGACCAGATGGGGACCAAACCAGGAACGAAGCCAAGGTACTCGGGGGCTCAGTCAGGATTAACCCAAGGCAATCAGGGACCAGATCAGGACCAAGTCCGGATGCTCAGAGACTGGATCAGGACCAAGCCAGAATCCCTGCAGCTCTGGGTCCAGCCTGGGAGGGGGAAGGAGCGATGCAGACACCCCCATCCAGGGGGATGCTCCGGGATGATCGCAGACGGGCGCTGCCAGGGGCAGGGGGGACTGATGGGGACAAAGGGGTACGGGTGGGGAGGAGGGGGCTCTGTGGGGCCGGGCAGACGCGGGCTGAGGCTGCCGCATGGCAGCAGGGCCGGCGGAGCGGCCGCGGTGTTGGTGGGGACGCAGGCGGAGGGAGCTGAGGGAGGAAAAGCGACGGAGAGAAACAGCCCGGGCTGGGGCTGCAAAGGAGGAGGAGGAGGAGGAGGAGGCGGCTGCCAGCGCTCGCCCTCCCTCCCTCCCTCCCTCCTTCCCTCCATCCCTCCCTCCTCGCCCCTTCGCCATGCAGGGCCCCCCCTGAGCCCCGCAGCCCCGGGGACCCGCTGTCCCCAGGGTGCCCCAGCATCCTTCATCCTCCCCCCTCAGAGCCTTCAGCCTCTGTTCCCTTCCTCCTCCTCCTCCTCCTCCTCCTCCCGCAGCCACCACCCTCCATCCCTCCCTCCCTCCCTCCCCAGGGCCTGGCTGGCATGGAGGTGCTGGCCGCAGAGAGCCGGATGCTTCCATCCCTTCCTGCCTCCCTCCCGGGCCGCATCCCTCCCGAACCACATCCCTCTTTCCCGACAAAGCCCTGAGCCTCCTCCTTTGTGCGGGTGTTGGGGTGTGCGTGGTCCAGCCCCCATCCCGTATCCCCGCGGCTCGCTCGGGGCTGGAAGCAGGAGGGATGCTGCCATCGGAGGAGCCAAGCGCGGGAGCTCGGCGCCCAGCACCAGGTACGGGGCGAAGCAGGATGCTCATGGGGAGGTGGTGGCTTGTCCCCAGGCTGCTCCTCGCCATGGAGCACTGGGGAGCAGCGGGGATGCGGTGGGGACAAAGCCGCTGCCGTGGGGTGAGGAGGGACCCGCTGCTCCTCGCTGCAGGTGATGGGGGATGGATGCATCCCGGTTTTCCATGCGAGCCTCGCTGCACCTCTCCCATCGTGGTGCCCCCACCCCGCAGCAGCCTCAGCCGGGGAAGGATGGGGACCAGCGGGAACGGGGAGCATTCACCAACCCGGCACCATCCACCAGCCCGGCAGCATCCTCCACCACCACCCCTCTTTTCCATTCCATCCTCCCCTTCCCTCTCCCAGCAGGCGGGAATGGTGATCCCTGCTGATGCTGTTCGGGGGCTGGAGGCAGGAAAACTGCTAAACAATGCACGGAGAGGATCCATGATGAAGCGCAGGTAGCGGCGCCGGAGCAGCCCGGGAATGCTGCAATCTCCCGGCTCCGGATGCCTGTGGGATTTAATATGGGGCTGCCGTAGTAATGACTCCGCTAATTCCCTTCGATCCCGGTGAGGCTGGGGATGGGAGAGGTTTATGGTGAGGACAGAACCTGCCTATGGGGCGATGCGAGCGTTCGGACCTGCCTTGGGTTATGGCTGGGAACCAGGGGCTGAGGCTGAGCAGGAGCTGCCGGCAGGGATCCAGGCCTGAGCTATGGGTGGCCGGATGCTGTGGCCCCATCGCTATGGTGGAAAAGCGCTTTCTCATCCCATCGGCAGCAGCTGAAGTTCCCGGGGGTGCTTTGTGTGTGCCGGGGGTTAAGGTGTGAGGGTGTTTTGTAACCCCAGAACACAGCCAGGCGCTTCCAGCTTGCCTCCCACTGCAGCCCAGCTTTGTTTTTCCATGGATTTCTCGCCTTTACTTTCATTCTTTCCCTTTAAAATGGTTTCCTGAACCCTCCTGGCCTGGTTGTGCTCACTGAGGAGGTGCTCACCAAGGATGGGGGCTGTGGGGTGCAGGGGGGGACTCAGAGGGGTTTTGGGATGGTGGGAAGAGCCCTCCGTGGGACACTGCAGAGGGATGAGGAAGGGATGCTCCCACCCATGGGTGCTGGTGGTGCTTTGGGGTGAAGGCATTGCAGGGATGCACTCCAATGTGTGCTTGTGCCTCCCAGGCTGGAGGAGACCATGGGGACATCCCAAGCTCCCATTGCACAAGGGTGGGGGGTTTTCCCCTGCAATGCCATGAAGGATTTGATGATGGGGGGGGGGATAAACCAGGTCCCCAAAGGGACCTTCTTCTGGCTGGGAAGCCACCGTGCCCTTGGCATCAGACCATGGGGTCTATGGGGTCCCATAGCCCTGGAGGGGTCACTGATGAGATGAGGCTCTTGGGAATGAACCCTGGTGTGAGGCTGAGCTAGCAGGAATGGGTCACCCTTCGCTTGGAGAAGGTGGCTCCAGACCCAGTGCTGGACACAGGGATGCTCCTGGAGACCCCTCACACTGCAGGGGCTCAGTGAGGGGTGGTTGGCCAAGAAAGGACATGGTCATTCCTCTGTGGGTGCTCAGGGTGGATGGAGGGAGCTTTCCCATGGGATGTCCAGCTTCCTTGTCCCTGCATCCTCCTAAATGGTTGTGAACCTTTCCAAGGGTAGGGGACCTTCCCAATGGGTATAGATCTTGCCAACGGTTATGAATACCGATCTTGCCACTGGTTATGGAGCTTCCCAAGGGTTACACACCTTATACATCCTCCCAAGGGTTGTGAATCTTCCCAAAGGTTGTAAATCTTCCCAAGGGTTGTGGATCTTTCCATGGGCTGTGAGTCTTCCAAAGGGTTGTGGAGCTTCCCAATTGTTGTGAATATTCCCAAGGGTTGTGGATCTTTCCATAGTTTGTGGATATTCCCAAGGGTTGTGGAGCTTCCCAAAGGTGATGGAGCTTCCCAAGGGTCGTGCCTCAACACGAGGAACATGGGAGGGTGGGATGGAGGCAGCAAGGGGACCAAGAAGCAGGACCAAGGTGCAACTCTTGGTCACCCGCATCCCTCTATCATTGACCCCCATCTCTTCCAGTGCCCGCCACCGCTCGATGCTGACATCCCCCAGCACCTCCGGACCCCGCTTCCACCCCAGGCCTCCCCCCCCACCATGCCCCAGCGCACCCCCAGCCCCGCCACGGGGGGCTCCGCACCGCACCCCACGTGCCCCAGCTCCAGCCCTCCCTTGCCATGAGCAGGCTCCCGCGTAGCGGGGTGCGTAGCTGAGGGATGGCCTCGCTGGACCTGCCCTACCGGTGCCCGCGCTGCGGGGAGCACAAGCGCTTCCGCAGCCTCTCCTCGCTGCGGGCGCACCTGGAGTACAACCACACCTACGAGACCCTCTACGTCCTCTCCAAGACCAACAGCATCTGCGATGCCGCCGTCTTCCCCTTGGCCGCCGACGGGGCCCTGCTGACGCCGGCCGCACGCAGGGACTACTTTGAGAGCACCTCCTTCCAGGGCAAGGACCAGCGCTTCTCCTGCGACCTGGTCCCTGCCGAGGAGCTGGAGCCGGCGCCCTCCTCCTCCCCATCGCCGCGCTATGTCCACGAGATCGAGATCCCGCTGACCGAGATCTTCACCCGCAGCAAAGCCGTGGCGCCGGCCCCGACGCCGCCGGCCGCTATGGACAGTGCCTATGAGGAGGGCTTGGCCCGCCTCAAGATCCGCGCCTTTGAGAAGCTGGAGGTGGACAAGAGGCTGGAGAAGCTGACGGAGGAGGTGGAGCAGAAAATCGCGTCCCAAGTGGGACGGCTCCAGGTGGAGCTGGACCGCAAGAGCTCGGAGCTGGAGAAGGCCAAGCAGGAGAGCCTGAGGCTCAGCAGGGAGAAGCAGGAGCTGGAGGACCGGGCGTCTGAACTGTCCCGTCAAGTGGATGTCAGCGTGGAGATGTTGGCCTCCCTCAAGCAGGACCTGGTGCAGAAGGAGCAGGAGCTCACCCGCAAGCAACAGTGAGTCCTTTGCCCCGTCTCCTGGGTGAAGGGTGGGGGCAGTGCTGTTGGAATGGTGAACCCTGAGGAGCCCATCACCGAGCCCTCAGACCAAGTGCTAGGGCACAGTCCCTTTGGCAACGTCCGTTGCCACCATCCCTCATCAGGTTTTGCATCTTCACCCATGCAATGTCCACCCAGACCTGAGGTCCATAGCTTGGTCATATCATGGCAAACCTGGTCCCATAGCCACTGGTGCCCCCAGGACATGGCCAGGCACATGGGGATGCCATCCTCATGTCCTGCCCAGGAACACGGTGGTGATCATGTTGCTGCAGCCCATCTCTAGCACCAAAGGGTGTCTTCCCAAAACCCTGGGTCATCCCCTCTGCCTCCACAGCTGGATTATACAGCCCGATACAACCTGAGGAATCCCATTGACCTGTCCCATGGGGCCACCTTGGCCCTGCCTAATGCAGGGCTTTTCTCCTAGAAGGAAGATGGGGGAGCCCATAGAGCCCAAAGAGCCCTCCATTCGCTGTCAGGACCACGGCACTGCCATCCTCATTTGCATCCCATGTTCCCCACTCAACACCCCCTTCCCATCCAGTCCTGCTCCTGAGTTCCCCTCTGGTCAAGCACTGCATCATTTTGCCCATTGTTGATGCTCAAGCAAACCAGACCTTGCTCCTCAGGGGGTTTGTTAGCAAAGCTGGAGTGCTCCATAGGGTCAATGAGGAGCACAGTGGGGGGTAGTCATGGTCTTGTCTTGATCCCCACCATAGTCAGCATCCTCATGAATGGCTTTGACTCCAAAATGAGGTTCCCAGCACTGGCTGGTGCTGGGGTGAGCAGTGAGGCGATGCTGGGGTTGGATAAGGGCAACACCTCTTGGTTTGGATGCATGAGAAGGCTCCTCCAGCCCCAACCCTTGCCATGGGCAGGGACCCCTTCCACTAGAGCAGCTTGCTCCAAGCCCCTGTGTCCAACCTGGCCTTGAACACTGCCAGGGATGGGGCAGCCACAGCTTCTCTGGGCACCCTGTGCCAGCGCCTCAGCACCCTCACAGTGAGGAATTCGATGCACCTCATTCGGTCTGTCATGGACCCCGAGCACCATTGCCACAAAAACCTTATGGTTTATGCCCAGAACTGCCTCCTGGACCCCCCTTTTTGTACAGAAACCCCTTGCCTGTCCTCATCTGTCCCCAGACTCCTCCAGCCACAGCGACAGAATCAGTTGCCAGGTTGCAGAGGGAGCATGAGGAGACCTGATGAAAATAGATTCCTTTTCCTATCCACGGGAAAACCATTTCCATCAGCAAAGCCAGCTTCACCCTTCCCAGATCAAAACATTCCCAGCCCTGCCAGCTCCAAACCACCACGAGCCCCTCGTCCCCATGGGAGGCTTCTTGCTCCTGGGCTCCGTTTGCTTTGCCAGGAGTGTTTTTCCACCCGTCCATGGGGATGCGAGAGATGCGGGTGATAACCATCAGCATCACCTTACACCCTGCGCCAGCACCCATTTGCCTTCCAAATCCCCTGGGGCCCCTTGCTGGGAGCCTTCCCAAACCATTCCCAAGGAGCTCCCAGGTTCACCCTGCAAGTGGCAGGTTGGGGGGTAATTAATTAATAATTAAATGGCAATCAATAACCAGCAAAGGGAATGGTGTCACTAAGAGCTGCTCTCTGCTTCCTTCACACTCCAGTGCAGACTGGTGTGGTTGGGTGGGAATGGTTGGGTGTGAATGGTTGGGTGTGCATGGGTGGGTGTGCAAGGTTGGGTGTGCAGGGTTGGGTGTGCAAGGTTGGGTGTGCATGGTTGGATGTGCAAGGTTGGGTGTGCATGGTTGGGTGTGCAAGGTTGGGTGTGCATGGTTGGGTGTGCATGGTCAGATGTGCATGGTCGGGTGTGCAAGGTTGGGTGTGCATGGTTGGGTGTGCAGGGTTGGGTGTGAATGGTTGGGTGTGCACGGTTGGGTGTGCAGGGTTGGGTGTGCAAGGTTGGGTGTGCATGGTTGGGTGTGCAGGGTTGGATGTGCAGGGTTGGGTGTGCACAAGGCAGACATAAGGATCTGTGCTTGTGCATCTTCAGGGGTTCATACCAAGAGAAGGTGTGAGAGCGGTTGTGCACGTGTGTGTGCGCACCATTGGCTGTGTGGGTGGCTTTGGGTGCGCATGCAACCAACTGTACATGTGTCTGCCTGTGCACGTGCATCGGGGTCTACATCTGCATTTGTGTTTCCATGGTGCTCATGCATGTGGGCTGGCTCTGCGCATGCATGGGGTGCACTTGTGGGGGTGCATGGTGGCTGTGTGCACCCCAATGTGTGCACGCAGGGTGGGATGGGGCCACGTCAGGTCAGTGAGCTGCTGGCAGTGTCCAACCCAGAGCTGGGGGTGGTTTGGGGCTGAGCTGGGTTTAAGGACTTCCAGCTGCCCTTAAGGTGTTTCTGTAAGTCTGCCCCACATGGGGGCCATGCTCCTCCATCCTCCCACCACAGCATCACAGCATCCCAGACTGGTTTGTGTTGGAAGGGACCTTAAAGCTCATCCAGCCCCAACCCCTACCACAGGCAGGGACCCCTTCCACTGGAGCAGCTTGCTCCAAGCCCCTGTGTCCAACCTGGCCTTGAACACTGCCAGGGATGGGGCAGCCACAGCTTCTCTGGGCACCCTGTGCCAGCGCCTCAGCACCCTCACAGGGAAGAGCTTCTGCCTAAGAGCTCAGCTCAGTCTCCCCTCGGGCAGGTTCAAGCCATTCCCCTTGTTCTATCATCATCCCCTTCCCTCCACTCCATTGCACTCAAGGGCCTCCAGTCCTGGGAGCAACGCTCACCCCAGCAAAGATGCTCACCCCAAAACACGGTGCCAGCATCCCCCCTGCATGCCAGGAGCATCCCTCAGTCCCTGCTCTACCCCAGCCCATGCCCAGGACCCATCTGGCCTGACCCAGGCTGATGAGGAGCGGTCCCCGGGATGCAGGTGCTCAGCAGGGATGCAGGGGATGGGCCGGGGGTGTCACCCACTGCTCCCCCCCGCACAGGGAGGTGCTGCAGATCGACCAGTTCCTCAAGGAGACAGCAGCGCGCGAGGCCAATGCCAAGGTGCGGCTGCAGCGCTTCATCGAGGAGCTGCTGGACCGCGCCGACCGCGCCGAGAAGCAGCTCCAGATCATCAGCAGCAGCTGCGGGACCACCCCCAATGGCAGCCTGGGCCGCTGCGGCACCCCCGGCACCAAGGCACCCCCCCGGGCGCTCCCTGCACGGGCACAGGTACCCCCCCCCCCCACTGCGAACGGGGTCCTGCGGTGGATGGAAAGGGCTGGGTCCGTGTGGTTGCCATGGGGAAATGGAGGGTCTGGGGGGGGGATTTGAAAGGGAAGCTGCTTCTTGGTGGTTTCCATGGTGAGTGTGGGCAAGGTGATTCTATGGGGTGGTGGAATGGATTGGAAGGGACCTTAAAGCTCCTCCAGCTCCAACCCCTGCCACAGGCAGGGACCCCTTCCACTGGAGCAGCTTGCTCCAAGCCCCTGTGTCCAACCTGGCCTTGAACACTGCCAGGGATGGGGCAGCCACAGCTTCTCTGGGCACCCTGTGCCAGCGCCTCAGTAAAGAGCTTCTTCCTTATCTCTAACCTGAACTTCCCCTGTTCCAGTTTAAACCCATCACCCCTTCTCCTGTCCCTACAGTCCCTGATGCAGAGCTCCTCTCCTGCATCCTTGTAGCCCCCTTCAGACACTGGAAGCTGCCCTGAGTCTCCCATGGTTTCTCTTCTCCAGGCTGAACAGCCCCAGTGTTCTCAGCATGTCTCCCTATGGGCAGTGCTCCAGCCCCTCGTCACCCTTGTGGCCCTCCTCCAAGATGCTCCTGTGCATCCCATTTGGGTTTAGCCTCACCCCAACCCACACCAGGCCCAGGGTGCGTTATCAGAGTTGTCTCCCTTGGCTGTACCACTGGGTTTCACCACTTTGGCTCCTCTTGTCCATCTCCCCACAGAGAGACCGGCACCCAGGGCCAGGGGGGGCCGCGCATGGTCCTTACGGTGTGTCCAACCAGCGCTCCTCCTCCAGCACCGGGTGAGTGCCCAGCGGTTGTTCCTGACTGGAATTCCAATGGGATGCTCAGGTTTTCGGTGGGCATCCCGGGAAGGGGAGCGCTGAGGTCGAGCATCTCCATCCTGCAGGGCCTCAAGCCGGGCGAAAGCCGTGTCACAGAGCTCGGGCTGCTACGACAGCGACAGCGCAGAGCCCTGCCCCACGGATGACACCGTGGATGGGCACCCCTACCCCACGCGGGACGGCGGCCGGGGCTCGGGGCTGCGCCGCCAGGCCATCCAGAACTGGCACCGCCGGCCCTACCGCAACAGCACCGAGGGCGAGGAGGGCGACGTGTCCGACGTGGGCTCCCGCACCACCGAGTCCGAGGCCGAGGGATGGGAGCCGGAGGCGCCCGGATCCGCTGCATCCCGACCCACCGGGAGCTGCCGGCTCACGGGTGAGGCGCAGTGGGGTCTGCTGGGGGGGTGGGAGGATGGGAGGTGAGGGATGCGGGTGCGGACTCAGAGCATCCCTTCCTCCTCCTCCAACAGTGGCCACCGATGGATGTCCCGCAGCCAGGAGTGAGGGCGCCGGGGGCAAAGTGGGGCGGCTGGAGAGGGGCAGCCCCGGGCACTCCAGTGAGGTGATCAGCCCCGAGATCCTCAAGATGCGGGCAGCTCTCTTCTGCATCTTCACCTACCTGGACACCAAGACCCTGCTGCGGGCGGCCGAGGTGTGCAAGGACTGGAAGTTCGTGGCCCGGCACCCGGCCGTGTGGACACGGGTGCTGCTGGAGAACGCCAGGGTGTCCTCCAAGGTACCGGGCATGGGAGAGAGCTGTCCTCTAGGGTCACAGAGCCCTTGGGGTTGGAAAGGGCCTTCAGGTCACCCACTTCCATCTAGAACGGTGCTGAGCATCTTGCTGGTGGTGATTGTTGTGGTGTTATGGTCACGGCCACACAAAGCTGTTGCTGGTACCAATGGCTGGATGCGTTGCATGTTCACATGTGCATGCTTGCGGGCATGGGCTCACATGTACCCGTTTTCACATGCTTTTGTCATATGAAGATAGGCTGAGAAAGTTGGGGCTGTTCAGCCTGGAGAAGAGAAGGCTGCGTGGAGACCTCAGAGCAGCTTCCAGTATCTGAAGGGGGGCTATAGGGATGCTGGGGAGGGACTCTTCATTAGGGACTGTAGTGACAGGACAAGGGGTAATGGGTTAAAACTGAAACAGGGGAAGTTTAGATTGGATATAAGGAGGAAATTCTTCCCTGTGAGGGTGCTGAGGCACTGGAATGGGTGCCCAGGGAAGCTGTGAATGCTCCATCCCTGGTGGTGTTCAAGGCCAGGTTGGACGAGGCCTTGGGTGCCATGGTTTAGTGTGAGGTGTCCCTGCCCATGGCAGGGGGTTGGAACTGGATGATCTTAAGGTCCTTTCCAACCCTAACTATTCTCTGATTCTATGTGATTTTCTTGCACATGGCATTTCCACATACATATGGCATGTGTGTGCATGCAGAAATCCCTGTACATGTGTGCATGTTCCGGGGGTGGGTGGTTTGAGACATGCTGAGGGCATCCCCCATTGGTGACGGCCACCCCTGTCCCCCCAGTTCCTGGCCATGCTGTCCCAATGGTGCACCCAGATGCATTCCCTCACCCTCCAAAACCTCAAGCCACGGCAGCGAGGGAAGAAGGAGAGCAAGGAGGACTACATGAAGAGCACACGGTGAGTCCTGGGCATCCTCCTCACACAGCCACATCCACTGCTCCTCAGGGGCGATGACGCTCTATAAGTCCCAGCATCCCGTTTCCAGTGATGGACGCTCATGGACCGGCTCCTGCTGTGGGTTTTGGGTGTCCCGGAGCCCCAGATCCCCTGACCCTGCCTCTATTCCCACCAGGGGCTGCCTGGAAGCGGGGCTGGAGTCCCTGCTGAAGGCGACGGGCAGCAACCTGCTCATCCTGCGCATCTCGCACTGCCCCAACGTGCTGACGGACCGGTCCCTGTGGCTGGCGAGCTGCTACTGCCGGGCCCTGCAGGCGGTCACCTACCGGTAAGGGTGGGACCAGCATCGCCCCTTGTTACCATGGGGTCCTGTGGTTCCTTGGCTGGGAACATCCATGGGATAGGATTGTAGAATCATGGCATGGTTTGGGTTGGAAGGGACCTTAAATCTCCTCCAGCTCCAACCCCTGCCACGGGCAGGGACCCCTTCCACTGGAGCAGCTTGCTCCAAGCCCCTGTGTCCAACCTGGCCTTGAGCACTGCCAGGGATGGGGCAGCCACAGCTTCTCTGGGCACCCTGTGCCAGCGCCTCAGCACCCTCACAGGGAAGAGCTTCTGCCTTATATCCAATCTAAACTTCCCCTGTTTCAGTTTTAACCCATTACCCCTTGTCCTGTCACTACAGTCCCTAATGAAGAGTCCCTCTCCAGCATCCCTATAGCCCCCTTCAGATACTGGAAGCTGCTCTGACGTCTCCAAGCAGCCTTCTCTTCTCCAGGCTGCACAGCCCCAATGCTCTCAGCCTGGCTCCATACAGGAGCTGCTCCAGCCCCTGAGCATCCTCGTGGCCTCCTCTGGACTTGCTCCAACAGCTCCAGGTCCTTCTCATGCTGAGGACACCAGAACTGCACCCAGTGCTGCAGGTGGGGTCTCACCAGAGCAGAGCAGAGGGGCAGGATCACCTCCTTCTACCTCCCGATGTGCTGGGACTCCTCTGCTTCCCATCCCCATTCCCTATCAGAACACAGCCCATGAGGCCAGGTGTGAAGGATCCACCTTTCCATGTGTCCCCAGAGCAAGCCGTCCTCCCAACTCTCATCCTCTTCTGGCATGTTCCCATGCAGGTGTTTCCCTTCCAGCTCCATTCCCACCATCCCGGTACCATTCCCACCTCATCCGGAGTCATCAACGGGGTCTTGGTGTGGGGACACTGCTTTGTGTTAGAGAAGGGTGAAGAAGAGGTGCACCAACACCAGGCCCCAGTGGGGTCCTACCTGACTGCTACCCCTTAAGGAAGGCTTCTAATGGGGAGGAGAGACCTTGGGGTCCCTCTGTCCTTGGAACAGCTCTGCCACAGGATTGCTAAGACCCAACTTGGACACCAGGATCATGGTACAGGTCCTGAAGGAGGTCCTTGAGGAGAGATCTCTGGCTGCTCCTTGGGCTTGGCCACCTCCAGAAGAGGCCCTTCCTTCGGTGGAGACAGGATTTACCTTTCCTATACACTCAAGTGGGAGGATCCTTGCTCCCCTGCACCACGTAGATGCCCCCTTGGTATCCATCTGACCTGCAGCTGATGGGTGCCCTGATCCAGCCCAGGATGGAGACTCCTTCAGACACGGCTCTGATGGGGGCATCCCACACCATGATGCAGCCCAGTTTGACCCCAAGACTCCTCCATCAGCCCTTCCAAGGGCATTGGAGCCGGCTCAAGCTCTCCTGGCACGTTGCTAACCTGTGACTGACTCATGCTCTGATTAACCCAAACACAAGGGGCTCTTGGAAGCTTCTGCAGTGGAGACACGTGCAGCACTCCAGATAACACCCATCGCCTATTTTTAGGCTTGCCTCTAGTTCTGAACTGGGTCATTTGGAGTCGGGAAGCGTGGCCTTGGTCTTCAGGAGGCAGCTTCATGGTGTGAAACAGCCTTTGGGCTGGTGGCATCAGGATGATGCTCTCTGAGCTCTCTCCTCCACTGACTTGGTGCTGGGAGCCAACAGTGAAAGCTCCTCCGAGGCAGGGGCACCACTGCTGGGTGGGCAGGCAGCACCCCTAAACCTGCACCTCCGCCTCCATGGAGCCAGCAGCACCCATGAGGTCTGTTTGATACCTCCAAAACACAAGGAAGACCCTCCAGGACACCTCTGCAGCAACATCTGGCCAACAACCACCTACAGATGTGGTGGCACAACCGCAGAGCTGGTACAAGGCCATGGAGTTACCATCCCTCAGCTGGAACGTCCTTAACCACGTCCTGGCACCTTCCCCATCCAGGCTGGGCGGGTGGAGAACGAATCCAACCCAATGGGACCTGCAGGGATTTGCTCTGCAAGGGTACATGGCCTGGCTGGCGCAGTTCCATCACTTGACACCTTTGCACCTGGAAGACTTTGACCTTCACCTTCAACCAACAACTTCACCTCCAGCCTTACCCCATCCTCAACCTCACCTTCAGGCTCACATCAACCCCACCTTCAACCAACAACCTCACCTTCAAACATCAACCTTCCCTTCAGCCTAACCTCATCTTCAACCTCACCTTCAGCCTCACATCAGCCTCACCTTCCTCCGTTCTTAGTTGCCATTCCACATCCATAGGCACAATTCCAGACAGAAATGCCTCCAGCCTTCCCGCATGGATCGGTGTTGGGATGTCTGACCCCGGGCTATGGATAACAACCAGATTTGTACCTCCAGGTGCAGGGAGATGCAGCATCACAGGGGCTGCAGACACAGCCCCCAGGGCAGCATCACTGCCAGTGGGGGCCACCACGTGTCCTCTGTGTTGTTCCAGGAGCTCTACGGACCCTGTGGGTCATGAAGTGATCTGGGCCCTTGGAGCAGGCTGCAGGGACATCATCTCCCTCCAGGTCGCACCTCTGCATCCCTGGTAAGAGCCATGTTAGGAGGAGGCCAGGTTGGAAGGGGGGGAAGCTCCTTTAAGGCCAGTTTTGGGGACCAGGATCTCAGCCCCATCCCTCCCTGTCCTGGCTGGGAGCCGTTGGGTATAGACATAACCCTGATGAGGCAGGAGTGTTTCCAGGGCACTGCTAACACCAGAGATGAAAGGGGAGCCGTGATGGGTGACACTGAACATCAAAGGCTTATGTGAGCCCCTCACTGCTCACGTAACAGCAGCTCTGAAGGGCTTGGATGGCTTTAAACATCGAGCCGCTGCTTAGGGAGATGGCTGCAGTTGTTCTTGCCTTGGAAAAGCATTTGGGGGGGGGATAAAGATGCTGGTGGATCCCCACCCCACAACGTCTCAGTGCTAAGGGGTTCATGGAGCAGAGCAGATCACCTCCATGCCATGGGGCTGCCTCCTGGGCATTTCTTCTTGTCCTGGGATGGCTGTTGCAATGTTATGTCCATCCTCACCTGGATCGAGGTGTGCAGAGGAGGGCGTCTCCTGGCAGGAGAATCATAGAACCATGGAGTGGTTTGGGTTGGAAGGGACCTTAAAGCTCCTCCAGCTCCAACCCCTGCCACAGGCAGGGACCCCTTCCACTGGAGCAGCTTGCTCCAAGCCCCTGTGTCCAACCTGGCCTTGAGCACTGCCAGGGATGGGGCAGCCACAGCTTCTCTGGGCACCCTCACAGGGAGCAGCTTCTGCCTCCTGTCTCATCCCCATCTTCTCCCCGTTCCCAGCCAGCAGCCGACGCGATTCAGCAACCGCTGCCTCCAGATGATCGGGAGGTGCTGGCCCCACCTGCGGGCGCTGGGTGTCGGAGGGGCAGGATGCGGCGTCCAGGGCCTGGCCTCCTTAGGTAGGAGCAGCTCTGCTCGGGGGGGGGCAAGGGGAAGGGACCTTGCTGGGGGTGGGGTATAACCCTAGGAGATGCCCCATGGGGACCTCTGTGAGGAAACCCACCCCAAGAAGCATGGGTGCACCCTGCCCCTCCTTGGTGCCACCCATCCCTTTCCCATCAGTGGCCTCATCCCTTCCCTGATGGAATCATGGAATCAACCAGGTTGGAAAAGCCCTTTAAGCTCATCCAGTCCAACCGTTCCCCAGCACTGCCAAGGCCACCACTGCCCCATGGCACTGAGGGCCTCGTCTCCATGGGTTTGGGAACACTTAGGAGGGTTCTTTGTCCTTCCAGCCCGGAACTGCATGCGGCTTCAGGTCCTGGAGCTGGACCACGTGGCGGAGATCAACCAGGAGGTTGCAGCGGAGGTCTGTCGAGAGGGGCTGAAGGGGCTGGAGATGCTGGTGCTGACCTCCACGCCGGTCACCCCCAAAGCCCTGCTGCACTTCAACAGTGAGTAGCAATGCCAGGGATGGAGGCAAAGCATCGTCCATTGGCCAAAAGGCCACCAGGTATCCAGATCCATGAACCGGAGCTTGACTTCCAGCTCCACCCGCAGCACCCAGTGCCAACACTGGAAGTGATGGAGCTCCATGGTGGAAAGCTTCTAAGAGAGGATCCAAGAGATCCCTGCCAAGGATTGGTTCAGAAGAGTTGATCTTGCTTTGGGCTGTAGGAAGATGGAGACCTCAATGTCTCAATTGAATCAAGAACTCAATGTCTGTGGCACACCTGAGGTTCACCCTCCTCCAGGTTTGGAGCCACACCATTTACTGAAGCTGTTTGATAGGAGCTCCTGGGGAAAGAGGCCTGACACCAGCAGCAGGGTCTGTTTAAGGACTGCTCCTGGTGGTCACGCACGTGTGGCTGTGGTTGAACTTGCTGGGAACCATCCTCTGCATGGAAGGGGAAGGGTTTCCCAAGGGCGATTTGGGATAGGGCAATCAGAGACCAGCTCAGAGGCCACCACCCTACCTAGAGGAGCCATCAAAAATGGGTCCCCTCCATCTTCAAGGTGAGGTTTGCCCAGAAGCAGGAGGCCTTGAGGAGCACTGGGTGGGGTTTTGGGTCCATGGTGCCTGAGCCCAGGTATGGAGACAGCAGGCACTATCTGTACCGCAGGTGTGTGCCGGAACCTGAAGTCCATCGTCGTGCAGGTGGGCATCGTGGACTACTTCAAGGAGCCCCATAGCCCTGAAGCCAAGAAGATGTTTGAGGAAATGGTGAACAAGCTCCAGGTAAAGGATGTGAGTCCCAGGTGACCCCCGTGTCACCAGCCCCAGGTCCCCCTGGAGGCCAGGGACAAACTCCTCCACTGCTGTAGCCATTGAATCATTGAGTCCCAGAGTGGTTTGTGTTGGAAGGGACCTTAAAGCTCCTCCAGTTCCAACCCCTGCCACGCACAGGGATGCCTCAGACGGGCTGAGAGAGCTGGGCTGGGTCAGCCTGGAGAAGAGAAGGCTCCTGAAGGGGAGACCTTAGAGCAGCTCCAGTGCCTGAAGGGGCTGCAGGAAAGCTGGAGAGGGGCTTGGGACAAGGGCCTGTAGGGACAGGCCAAGGGGAATGGCTTGAACCTGCCCGAGGGGAGACTGAGCTGAGCTCTTAGGCAGAAGCTCTTCCCTGTGAGGGTGCTGAGGCGCTGGCACAGGGTGCCCAGAGAAGCTGTGGCTGCCCCATCCCTGGCAGTGCTCAAGGCCAGGTTGGACACAGGGGCTTGGAGCAAGCTGCTCCAGTGGAAGGGGTCCCTGCCCATGGCAGGGGTTGGAGCTGGATGGGATTTAAGCTCCCTTCTGACCCAAACCATTCCAGGATTCAATGATTCCATGTCCTCCTCACCAACCCCGCTCTTCTCTCCTCTGCCAGGCCCTGAGGAAGAGACCCGGCTTCTCCAAGATCTTGCACATCAAGGTGGAAGGAGGATGTTAGTCCTTCAGGGAACCACAAAGCACATTCCCAGAGGCTCTGTGAAACCAAACCCACCGTCGCTGCTCATCCGTTGCCGGACCTGGGGCACGGAGACACCGGCTCATGCACAAAGAAACCCTGAACCCTTGCAGGCCTCAGTGATGGGCAACCAGAGCCTGTCCCCAAGGCCAGCTCACGGGCAAAAGGTGCTACTTCAGGACATTTTTGGCTGCCCAAAGAGGCAGGGCTTGTTCCTGGGAGGGAAGGTGACTTCAAACCTCCCTTTGTGGCTGCTCATTGCCAAGGATCCTTGTTTGGGGAATGTCTTTCTCTTCAATCTCTGTTTCTGGGGGGGTTCGCTTGGTTGGTGGTGTGGGAGCTGAGGATGGATCTGCCAAGACCCCATCGTTATCAGCATCACGGCTGGACCATCCTTATCCATCCATGGGATGATGGAGGTTGGGTGGGAAGGGGCTGTTCCTCCGGAGGAAACGGTGCTCAGCATTCCTGCAGGATTTCCACTCGTTTCCATATCCATTTGTGTATCAGAGGGACACCCAAACCGGGGATAACAGTGCCCAGAAGCCGGCAGCCACCACAGCACAAGCGCAGGTGGCGGAGCTGCATCCCGGGGCTGTAGGAGCCAGAGGACACCATGGAGATGATGGCTCCAGCCTCACCTCCTGCCCACCCAAACCCTCCTGCCAAGGCAATAAACCATCTCCAAAGTCCTCGTCCACCAGGTCATGCTTCTGTCCCCATCAGCATCCACCGGAGCTCAGAGTCCCACCAGAGCACATTATCCCATACGGAGATTGGGACTGGAATGGGACACCCACGTTTGCCATCTCATTGCCTTCCTGAGCAACCTGAAGGAGAGAGAAATCCTGGCCAACCTGCCCTGACATCCAAAGCTGCTGTGAAAGCACCAACCCAACTGCCCTGTAGATCCTTTACCTATGGCCACAGCTGGTTTTTAATCCCTCTTTGTTTCTTCTCCATCTTCTGCCTGCGAGGACACCATCACCCCCAAAACACCCTTATTCCAAAGGAAAAGGCTTTGGGAAGGCATCCAGCAGGGTCAAACATCTCCATCCTCCACCCTGAAGGTGCCAGGACGTGTCCATGCCATAAGGACACCCATCACAGCACTGCCAGCAGCAGGGACCCATCAGCGCCCTGCAACCCTGAGCCCCAACCAGGCGTGATTGGACCCAATGTGCTGAGCTGAGAGGAGCCAACAGAGAAATGCAGATATGGGGGTTGTCCTCTTCTCTGGACCATCGTTGGAGGGCTCAGTGCCTGTTGGTCAATGTGGATGTGAGGAGACAGCCCTTTAGCAGGGCATCTCCTCTCCTGGAGGTGATGGGTTGCCACGGAGCATCCCCCGGGAGGATGAGGGCTGTGGACCCGTCTTGGTACCACCTTCCTTCCTCATCTATGGCATGAGAGCTGCAGAGCTCAGCTGAGGGCTCCCAGCGTGTCATAGCCCATTGGGACCCTAACAGAAACCAAACTGGATTCCAAATGAAGCTGGTGGTGGGCTGGAGGCCTCCAACCCCAGGAAGCACCTCAGGAGACCACTGCATCCACCCATCGTCCTGTCTATGCTGTCTCCTCTGAAACAGGGTAAGGTTCTTGGCCATAACCCCCTATTTGAAGCACCCCATTCCCCCCCTGACTGCAGCTTTCCAGGAGAAGGCTGTTCCCTGTAGGGACAAAATGTGGGAGCCCCAAAAAGCCTGTGAGAAACCCCCTTGTCCCATCATATCCCAATGGGCAGCACTGGATGAGCTCCCAAGGTGCCCACCACCACTTTACCTCCACCCCCAGAGGTTGGAACATGCATAATCCAGGGGGCAAGAAGAGCAAGAGATGCCCCAACCAGCAAAAAAGAACCACCCAGCAAAGCTACGACCATCTGGGGACCATCCGGGGACCATCCATCCTTCATCCCACCAGCATGGTCCCAAGTGGAGATGTTCCCATTGGAAACAGGGCAGAGACTTGTGAAATTCCCTTAAAAAGTAAGAAAAACCACAAAGTATTTATTTCTATACAGAAAAGAAGGAAAAGAGAAGAGTTTAAAGGCAAGTTCTATCCTCAGCATGTTTATACCCTCTATGCTTAAAGACTATTGTGTTGGAGTCATGGTTGAAGACTGAAGGCGGTTGCTCCAGGTTTGCTGCGTTCCCAGCTCCTCACCTGGCTCCTCCAGGCCATGGGAAGGGGAGGAGGGGATGATGGAAAGCAGGGGGAGATGTTGAGGACACGTGGAGAAACCTTCAGTGCTCAGCAGTGAGCTGGTGCCATTGGTGGCCATGGATGGTGGATGTGGAGCGTTGGGTGGATGCGGGATGTCCCCATCCCATTGCTGCCATGAGGGTTTTGTGAGTTGCAGCAGGACCACCTGACCCCAAATTGGTGCTTTGGTGTGACCAGACCAACTCATCCCCCTCCCCTTGGGGTGTGATTCCCCAAAAGACCACCTTCTGGCTTAGCAAAGCCAAGTCTTTACCAAAATCCTGCGATGACACAAGATCCTGAGGAGGTCTGAGGGTTATAAGATGGAAAGTTGGGTTTTCTGCCCCGTTTTGCACCTTTGCATTGTTTTGCACCAGGGCTGGGCAATCCCAGGCACAGCTACAGGTTGGGTGGAGAAGTGATTGAGAGCAGCCTCAGGAGGACTTGGAGGTGTTGGGTGAGGAGGAACTGAGCAGGAGCCACCGTGTGGGCAGCTCTGGTGTCCTCAACACCAGAGGGACATGGAGCTGTTGGAGCGAGGCCAGAGGAGGCCATGGAGATGCTGCGAGGGCTGGAGCAGCTCTGCTCTGGAGCCAGGCTGAGAGAGCTGGGCTGGGGCAGCCTGGAGAAGAGAAGGCTCCTGAAGGGGAGACCTTAGAGCAGCTCCAGTGCCTAAAGGGGCTGCAGGAAAGCTGGAGAGGGGCTTGGGACAAGGGCCTGTAGGGACAGGCCAAGGGGAATGGCTTGAACCTGCCCGAGGGGAGACTGAGCTGAGCTCTTAGGCAGAAGCTCTTCCCTGTGAGGGTGCTGAGGCGCTGGCACAGGGTGCCCAGAGAAGCTGTGGCTGCCCCATCCCTGGCAGTGCTCAAGGCCAGGTTGGACACAGGGGCTTGGAGCAAGCTGCTCTACTGGAAGGGGTCCCTGCCCGTGGCAGGGGTTGGAGCTGGAGGAGCTTTAAGGTCCCTTCTAACCCAAACCATTCCATGATTGTTTCCTGGCCTCATATGGGTCGCTTCCTCCTCCTCCTCCTCCTCAGCTGGGATGAAGGGGGTTGGCATGGTGACACATGCTTGGTGGTACCCAGAGCCCTGCATCTTTCCTGGTAGCTCCATGTTAGCCATGTTGTTAATGGCAACGAGTTCATTAAGAGCTCCCTGTTTCCTCCACTGAAATGTGAGATTGATCCCTTCCCTGCTGTTTTCCCTCCCCCATCCCTACAGGATGCTCTGGCAATGCTGTTCATGGATTCCCCACATCCATCGTGGGGTTTCAACTCCATTTCCTCCTGATATGATGGAGAAATCTCCAAATTCCCTGTGAATGCCTTGAAATCAAGGTGCTGGTAGGGAAGGGACCGCAGCAGTGTGAACTCAACCCCATACTAGACTCTAGAGAAGCCCCACAGTGCCTCTGCAATGACAATCCCCAGCAAAAGCCAGGGCACAGCCACCCACCATGGGCTGAGCATCAGCGGTGAGAAGCTTTAGTTCATGGTCATGGTGATGGCCCCATCTGAAGGAGGTTGGATGGATGGAGCTGATGGTTCTTGCCAACCCCAATTCCCACAGGATCAGTTTAATGGGATTTTAGTAGTTTTCCAGTGAGTTTGCACCAAATTTCCCCATTTGTGGCGTGAGCTTCACTTGAATTTGGGTGCTGGGATCTCATGAGGAGCACCACCAGCAAAGCCAGCTTGGAGGTCAAATTTATCCCAAATCCAGGTTGTCCTCAATGGGGTGTTGGTTTGCCCACAGGACCTGAGGATGCTCCAGGGACCAGCTGCCTGCATCCCTTTAGGAGAGCAGGGATGGAAGGTCGTGAAGGAAAGGGGAATTCTCACACAGGCTCTGCCCAATGAGGTTTTAAAACCCTTTATCAAGCAAAGGTGGCAGGAAAAACATCCCATTTCTTGCCATGAGGCATGGTCCCAGCTGCCCGTCAAGGAACATCCATGCCCAGTGTGCTTGGATCCTCCAAAAGGCTCTAGATGTGGTTAAACCAGACCAAACCCCCCTGGGAAGCGCTGATAAAGGCTCTGGAAGTGGTTGATGGATGTGTTCTGGTGGCTCTTATAGAGGAGCTCCCACCCCAGGAGCTGGTTCCTCATTGAAGCTGTCGCTGCCCCATCCCTGGCAGTGTTCAAGGCCAGGTTGGACACAGGGGCTTGGAGCAAGCTGCTCCAGTGGAAGGGGTCCCTGCCCGTGGCAGGGGTTGGAACTGGATGGGCTTTAAGCTCCCTTCAACACAAACCATGCTTTGGTTCACTGATTTTGGGTTGAAAACCTGCAGGTTGGGATGGAATAAAAGCATCTGGGAAGAGTAAAAGGATTTGGGAATTGGTGCCAAATCACAAACTGCTTTAAAATACTAAAATCCAAGGGAAAAAGAACATGGAATGGAGAGGTTTTAGCAACTGGAGATAGTTTGTTGCAACCAAAGCATCGCGAGTGGTACTGATGCACGACATTCCCCACCATGGGAGGCAAAGTAACCCCTGCAGTGGGTGGGACAATCCCTGCTGCCCATGGAGAAGCTGCTGCACATCCTCCCCGGGATGACAGAGGAGGGAATACTGGGATTGTCCGATCCAGCCTCAGGATCAGGCCCCGTGGAGGGGTGGGATGAGGCAGTTGGGGCCGGGGCCAAATGGGTGCAATGGTGTGGGATGGCTTTTGGCTTCTCTTGCTTAGAGATAATCAGAGGATGGAGAGAAATATATATATATGATATATATATATATAAAATCCAGGAATCACAATCATACCCCTAAAGCACCTCATGGCAGCGGCTGCTCCGGTGGTTTTCCAGCATTCCCAAAGGCAGCAGTTGCCTCCTGAGTTGGTATTTTTTTAACTCTATCCAAATCGAGGTCTATTTTAAGTCTTTTTTCGCAGCCATGTGCCAGTGTCTGGAAGAACCAAACGTCCCTTTTCCCCATCCCCTGGTCCTGCTAAACCGGGTCCTGGCTGCTAAATCCACTGGGAAGAGCGGTGGGGACAGGGGGTGTGGGGACAAGGGACAAGGTGGTGGTGGTGGTGGCAGGAGACCGTGTCTTTAGCACTTTGGTTGGTACTATCACCTGTAGATGCACTTTGATGTTGTTGCTTTGACATTTGCCGAGTGTAAACCATGTGTATTTAAAGAATTCCAGGAAAACCCAAGAATTAACCCTCTTCCCAAGGTGTGTAAAGAGCTATTTTATGATTCGGTGTTGAATAAAGACTCTGGAGATTGAGGTGGCAGCTTTCACTCTGCTCTGGAACCAAACCAGTGGGACCAGTTTGGGGGGGGGGGCTTTACTGGACAGAGTGGGGCCGTGGAAGCGTTTGGCTGTGGAAGATGCTGTCAGCCTGGAGGCAGCAGTGAGCAAAGGGAGGGCTCAGAAAGGCATGAGAGGGATTCAGCTCCCATCCCAATGACCTTCGGCAATGAAGGGGGCTGATCCTGGACCACTGCAGAGGGAATAGGTGAGTTTGAACGCTTTTGTGCCAGTTCTCTGCTGAAACAACCTTAACCATGTATTTCTGAACAGACCTGAATGTAAAACAAGGAAAAGGGGGACTGATTTTTGGTGGAGAGCCCAGATGGCTGAAGGATTCCCAGTTCTCAGGTTATCTGCCATCCAGAGGGACCTGGATGGGCTGGAGAAATGGGACCATGTAAACCTCATGGCGTTCAACAAGGCCAAGGGTGGGAGCAATCCCAAGCACAAACACAGGCTGGGGGATGAAGGGATGGAGCAGCCCTGAGGAGAAGGACTTGGGGGTGCTGGGTGAGGAGAAGCTCCCCATGACCCAGCTTCAGTGAGCGCTTGAGCCCAGAGCCCCCCCATGTGCTGGGTGCACCCCCAGAGCGTGAGCAGCAGCTCAGGGAGGGGATCCTGCCCCTCTGCTGTGCCCTGGGGAGACCCCCCCCTGCAGGAACCAAGAGGGTTTAACACAGAAGCTGTGGCTGCGCTGGCTCTTCAGTACAAACCCTCACGTGCTGCTGAACGTGTTTCAGCAGAGAGGAAGAGCCACAATGGTCACATTAAGGGACATGCCCCATGCTCCCAATGTCTGTCACATGGCAGAGCTTTATAAACATTCCGTGGTGTAACAGACCATCAACTTCCCTGATTAAATGAGATCTTAAAGGGTTGGTATCAGACAGCTCATTTCTGCCACTCTCCTCTATTACCACTTTCAACCTATCAGACCCAAGTGTCTCCCTATTCCCCAATGGGATTTCCTGTGGGAGATGGTTCCAGTGCCAGGATGCGGCTCTGAAGTACCATCAGCCCCACACAGCCCCTCAACAGGGGCAGAGACAGATGCAGCTACTGCTCTGAGCCTCCTTCTAGGAAGGAAAAGATGGGATTTAAATGGGCAGTTAAGCAAAAGCAAGCAGAAATGTCACTGAGCAATAGGTGGGAGCTCCATGAGACAGCCCCTGCACAAAGGTAAATGTCTGGGAAGCACGGGGAAGCAGATCTGCTTCCCAGCACAGAACCTGCTTTTAGACAGGGCAAAAACCAGTCTGAGAGGTTCACCTTTAACTCCAGCCACGAACCACCACCCTGCAGGGTGAAGCATGCAGCAGAGAACAGAGAGAGCCCCAAATGTGCCACTGAACAAAGTCACCTCTTTATTCTGAGCCTGGATTCCAACCCTCCAGCAGGAAAACAGAAAGGAAATAAAAGGAGTATAAATACAAACCAGCCCCACAGTGGCTGCACAACCTGCCCCGGCCTAAAGGGCTCCACTCAACGTGGCTTCCATGTGGAATGGTGAGGCAAAGCCTAAGGGGACCAGTGCTGTGCAGGGTATGCTGGGGCTGAGCATCTCCCATGGGGGCTGTGGTGCCCAGGCCAAGATCTGACTCTAATTCAACAAGGGCAGCAGTTGCCTGAAGCCCTCCAAGTGACCACATGGTGCAGGGCCTCTTAATTCACCTCAGAATCCTAATTCCTTCTCACTTTGCACGTTGGAGGAGAGCTCCAGCCCCATGGGGGGCAGGTCTCAGTGGTTGTGGGCTTTACCTCGACCCCTGCCCCGGGCACTGGGCGCAGCATCCACAGTGGAACGAGGGTTCT